GAGAGAGAGAGAGAGAGAGAGAGAGAGAGAGAGAGAGAGAGAAAGAAAGAGAGAGAGAGAGACGAACAGAGAGAGTGGGAGAGAGGGAGAGAGAGAGAGAAAGAGAGAGAGTGAGGGAGGGAAGCGGTCGTTTTCAGCTCGATCGTGACAGAAAGAGAGAGAAGGAGAGAGGGGAGGAGAAAACGAGATAAAAAGGGATACGCGTGCGGAGATAGGAGACGAAGAGAGAATGGAGAGAGGACCTCAGCGCTTCGACCGGGCGCTCCTCGGTCCTGCTCTGCCGCACGACGACTGAATCTTCGGGGTGGACTGGGGAGGCTGCGCGCAGGGTCGACCCCTCTCGTTCCTGCACCCCTGGCCTGTCTGCCCGCCTGCCTGCCCGCCTGCCTGCTTGCCTGCCTGCCTGCCTGCCTGCCTGCCTGCCGGCCAGTGGTGGCGGCGACGCGAACTACAGGGCGGACAGGGACACTGTTTTAGGATTTCTCTTTGCTACGACGACGCATTTAGCCCTGCTCGATGGGCGAGCGATGATGAAGTTTGATGATAAGGCCGTTATAAATATTAATGGTGGGCGATACGGGCCGCTTAAACGCCCAGAGCGCCACAGCAATGCGTCGCGCTCGCCCTGCCACCCCATCGCAATTAATTAGGCGTTTTGTCGCGAGCGACGGGCTTCTTCGGTCGTGGAGAAATAATAAAGGTTACGTTTCTCGGCGTTTCTCCTCGGCTAGGAAATTCATTCGACTCGATGGGCAGCCAATAAAGCCTGATTTTTTATCCGGGTGGACTGACGCATGTTGAAGCGTGTAGCGTGAGTTATCCGTTATGTTAACGTTTAGAGAGGGAGAGAATAAAGAAAGGAGGGAAAATAGAAAGAGAGAAAGAAAGAGGGAGGGCTTTGATTTATTCGCTTGAATATAAATGTTTTTTCCGCAAAACCGTGTCGGACTAAATGCGCTTGTTTATCCGGAAAAAAATCGCGCCAGTGCGAAATGAAAACGGGACAGATCTGCCGTTAAGAGCCCTCTTTAATCAGGGACATGTCAAATTTGTGCTTGATGAGCAAATTGAGCGAGAATTAATGCAGTTTAATCATGAATTTGTGACGCTGAAATAAATTTAGCAAAATGTTATCTGTATCATTGCGTCAACAATATTTTATTCGCGCAACGACGAAGTAAGGAAATTAAAATTCTGCATATAAAGCCCCGCGAAAAGAAGCGGATATGCATATTACGCGTATATGTATTTGCATGTCGTCCCGAGACGACAAGAGATGACAAAAGGAAGGTATTTCTGATATAAGTATCACGGGTTGCGTCTCGCCGACGATCGCCTTTGTCGCAACATCGCCCAGCGAAAATGTTAATTTGCGAATATAATTACACGGATCTAATTAATTATGCCGCGCTTTGTGTACGCGACTGGCGCATTTGTTTAACAGAATAGCAATGGCGGTGGGACAAATTGTACGATGTATGCGAACGCTGCTCGGAACCTCTTTCGCACGCGCGATGACATGTTCGATGAACACGCGACGCGACGTCTTGCGCGTGCAAAAGTATCCGCAAACATTCAGACATTTCACATTAAAGTGAATCAAATATCTCTGATTGAGTCAGCAAAGTTTCACCGATAATCAATGAGTACTCGCCGATTTTCAATGAAAACACTCTCATTTTACTGCTCAGTTTCATATCTCACTGATTTTCTACTAGGAAAATAATAATTGACAATTCATTTGTGGGCTAAATTTATTTCACAAAGAAACAAACTTCACAAAAATAAACTTTATATCCCACAAATAAATTTCCAAGTATTTGTGTCAGTGTGTCCAGTGGAAGTACATTGAGAAAAAAATACTTGAGAATTTATTCGTCAGATATAAAGTTTATTTCGTGAAATAAGGATCGTTCTTGTGAAATAAATCTTATTTTTGTGAAATAAATTTTTATCTCATAAGTAAATTTTCAGACATTTTTTTCTCAGTGTAAAAGTTCACTGCAAATGTAGTACAGTTCGTTAAAAATAATTTGTTAAAAAATCCAATTTCATGCGCTCGTGGTGAGAGAATTAATGGTTTCCACGCAATTTGCGTGCAATGACACTGCCTGCATCGAGGAAAAAGTATTTGAAAATTTATTTGTGGGATATAAAGTTTTTACTTATAGAGAGAAATAACATTTATTTCACAGACATAATTCTTTATATCCCACAAATAAATTCTCAAGTATTTTCAGTGTCTTCACAAGGCGCATCAATAATGATAACAGTCGCTACTGTACTGAGAAAAAATATCTAAAAAATGTGAACAATATTTTATATTAGTACAAGTAAAGTTTTTGATAGCTACCGAATAAATATTTCTTTTATTTCTTAGATATTTCTTCTCTCACAATGTATCAGTTGAACTACAGCAAGATTTTACTAATTGCAGAGCTATATTTATAACTTGAACTATTATTTCCTTATTTCTTTCATTCAATGGAGAATACGCTGATAGTACTTTAGAGAAGAACACATTTTTTTATCTCGGTTTTCCCTTGCAGAAGTGGCCAGATTTCCCCGTCGGACAAGCGCGCAATTTTCTGCTTAGCGAATCAATGAAATCGAAATCGCGTCGACGTCGAGAGTATCGACACGACGCGTTATACGACACGGAATATTTATTCATCGCAAATATCATGCGGCACACGCAGCTACGCGCATTCAGATATAATAGCGCTGTATATAATTAGCCCTTCTGCATTTGCTGTGGGCAGGCGACTCGTGTTTGTTCCAGGGGAGTAATAATAACCGCACGACCGAGCCACGCCGCGGTAACAGACACCGTTACCTTTTCGCGCGGCTTATTAATTATAGACGTGTTCGGCCAAGGATAAAGACAACGACGCTGAATAAACGTAACCCTT